GGATGAGGCCTAGATGTCTCTCCAGGGTTTTCTGGTGTCAAAGAACGAAGGACTACTGAGTCATTTGTTCATTCATTCATCTATCCATCCACTGCGGTGCTGGGCTGGAACCCAGGACCTCACACATGCTAGGTGAGCGCTCTACTTCTGAGCCACACCGCCAGCCCCAGGTGTTTTGAGGCCCTGAGTTATAAATACATATATATACATATGTATAGATACATATATATGTATATTAGTGGTACTGGGATTTGAACTCAGGGCCTCACACTTGCTTGGCAGGTGTTCTACCACTTGAGTCTCTGCCCGCAGCCCTAGATGTTTTAAGAGGTGATGGGAGGGTGCTGGTGGGGGCCTAGGTCCCCATCCCTTTCTACCCAGAGCCCCTTCCAATCATTCAAATGACTCTGTGGCTAGGAGGAAAACAAAAGTGCCCTGACACCTTTCCCGGTGTGCACTTCACAGGCGTCACTGAAAATTCCTCTCTGGGCTGTGCTGTTTGATGAGTTTGACAGGTAGTCCCCTAAAGGGACATCAGATAAGCTCACTCCTTGGATAAAGGTAGAGATAAACACAGGGAGAACACCTCACTTGTATTGCCGGTGCTCCGCCCAGGGCTACTGTCCTTACCAGCCCAGGGGAGCTAGGAAGAAAGATGGGAAGACCCACCTGGGCAGCCGGAGTCTGGCCTGTGCTTTGCAGACCTGGCCTGGGGGCTTAGGAAGAGAGAGTTTCAGCAGAAGGGGAGGGGGGTCCCTGCTGGTGTACCTCCCCCTTTACAACAAATGGCTGACACATACACATTTAAGGCAAGTGATTTCAAACTGATCACTGATATTGTTGTGACTTATTTAAAATAAGCGGCGAGGTGGAGGGAGTTGGTGGTTCTGGGCTTTAATGCGGGGCTTTGTACTTGCTAGGCAGGCTCTCCACCACTTGAGCCACACCTTCAGCCCTGTTTTGTTTTGGTTTTTTGGGGCTATGTAGCCCAGGCTGGCCTCGAACTCATGATCCACCTGCCACAGCTTTTGGAGTGCTGGGAGTGTGCCACCATACCAGGCTCTAATTTCTTTTAAATAGGCAGGTTGTTCCACGGTCGTTTTTCTTTGTCTTAGTTGGAATGCTGCTTCGATACTTGGCCCAGAGGCTGGAGCCCTGGCAGAGAGACTTAGAACGTTAGGTGTTGCACCCTTTGAGGACCTGTCAGAAATCAGTGAGGCCCACAGTTGTCACGGCTCGCAGGCAGTGCCTCACACACCAGATCCACAGAAAGAGGGAGGCCCGTGTGCAGGCAGCCCTTGGCCACTGGGGCCGGGGGCAAGGTGGGCCTGGCCACACAGCTGCCCAGGGGCCATGTGGTTCCAAAGTGAGTTGAGGGCTTTCTGCATGCGGTGCCTGTCCTAGTCAGATATGTCCTTGGTAACGTTTTCAGCTCTCTCAGCCTTCTTGGAGGTTTCTGGTTCTGAGTTTGTACAGAACTCAGATGATCTGGAACTGGGGCTTGGGGTCCTCCTGCCCTGCCCCGGCACTGTCCTGGCTGGGCTGGGCTGGGCTGGGCGGTGTTTTCTGACTGGATATGGCTGCTGTCGCCTCCTCCTCCACCCCACTGCTCAGTGGGTAGCACATGGTACAAGAAACAGCTGTTGTTTTGACAAAAGATGTGCTCACCTCACTCCCTAGCCCTCCCCAGCGCTGCACTGGGGACAGAACCCAAGGCCTTGCAGATGCTAGGCCATTGCTGCACCACTGAGCCACACTTTAACTGTAGCAGGTTGGTTTTTTGTTTGTTTTTTTATTTTTGTTGGTGTTTTTTTTTTTCCCTTTTTAAAATTTTGGTGGGACTGAAATTGAACCAGGGTTCAATGGACTGCTTGAGCCAGTCCATTTTGCTCTGGTTATTTTGGAGATGGGGTCTCTCAAAACCGTTTGCCTAGGTTGGCCTCAAACTGCTATCCTTCTGACCTCAGCCTCCCAAGTAGCTGGGATTACAGGTGTATACCACCATGCCTGGCTAGCAGGATTGGGGAAATTAATATATATTACTGGTTTTTTTTCCAGCTAGATATGTGCACATGGAAATAGACAGAAAATAGGCCCTCAGAGCAAGCTCCCTTCTCACGGTTCTTCCTGGGAGCAAGCACAGCTCAACTTCCTTCTACATCTTTCCAGAAGTCATCAGGCCTTGGGTATAGATAGCTGACCTTTAAGCACTGTTCACAGTTTGCTGGTTTTAGTTAAACACCTCTTGGTGGCCATCTGTCCCAGTAAGTGCCTGTGGGACCACTTAAAAAGGTTTGTTTTAACCATTGCAGAGTGGCCTCGTGGCTCAATGTGTTCTTGCTGGATGTTCAGGTTGGTTCCAGGTATTTTGCTCTTTGTGATTTCATGTCTTGCAGATGTGGGGACTCTCCGTGCTCCTGTTTACATGTGACCATGACTCATGGGCTGAGGATTCTGTGTTTTGGGCCTCCACCTCCACCTCCCCTCCATATGTTGGATCCCCTTGTTAATGTGTCATTGTGTTTGACGCTTTGAGTACAGGCAGGCTCGTAGATAATAAAACAGTATTTGGCTTATGCCTAACCGCCGTCTCCTCCCTCTGCGCTGTCCTCACAGCCCGAGAACGAACACCTTACTCTCCTTGAAAAGGATTTGCTGTGTTTTCTTGTTTTGTTAAAGGGACACTCAGTCACAGACCGCTCCCCTGGCAGCAGTGCTCCGTCTCTACTCCTTGCTGTGCCAATCTGTCTCTGTGGTGGCACCATGTTAAATTTGGAGATCTCCATGGACTCCTTGTCATCCCACATATGTCTGCAGGGTGGGGGAGGGGATTGTGGCGGCCCCCACAGAGTCCCCGACTGCCAGCAGCAGGTGGCCTCAGGTGCACTGGCTGTGCAGCACCATGGTCAAGGTGGATTTGCATCCACCGTTCCACCTGTTCAGCTCAGGCTTCCTGATCTGTCTGCCCAGGGAGGGACCTGAGAGCCAAAGGGGCAGATGGGGAGCTGGGGGTGGGAGACAGAGGGTCCTAAAGGCTCTTGTGACATCTCCAAAAACGTCCCCTCCCCATTCTCTCCCCAACACCCAGCACCCCACTAATGTGAAGAAACCAGGAGATAGAGGCCCCTGGCTGCTGGCCCCCTCTGCAAGGCAGAGGCAGTGGGGTCCCCTCTGAAAGCAGGGTTCTCATGAAAGCAGCCAGCACCCGTTTTGTTTTTCTCCTAAGTTTTCTGTGTCTGTGTGTGATCGGAATGAAACGTCAACTTTTCTCGTTTCTGTCAGATTTCAATATTGGCTTTTTTCCCCCTTCTTGAAGTCTCTTTTGTAACTTCTGCTGCTGCTACTGCTTAAATATAGATGCTGTAGTCCTCCTCCTTACCAGATTGTTTATATTTTTGAAAGCCTTCTGCTTCTCTGTGGCTGCTCGTTCTTCTCTCTCCTTCCCACTTCGCCACATTGGTGGCGGTTGCTCTTTTTCCCCTGCCTCCCCTGCTCTGGGATGCGTTTCAAATGTGGTCTGTCGAAGTGTTCAATGTTTCCCTCTTTTCTGGGGAGCTTTGACATCTGTTCCTGACTGCCAGCCCACGGCATTCTTTGGGACTCGTTCACCCAGGATTTGCTTTAATGCCAGGAACACGAAAGGGAGAGAGAGCATGGCGTGGTGGCATCTCCTCCCCCCCAGCCCCCATCATCTCCATTTTCCCCTCCCCTGCCTTTGAAACTGCCTACGGTTTCTAAGTTGACAGCACGCTGGATGTTTGTTCCAACTCTCCTGTCATCTTGTTTGGCCACGGTCCACCCCATCTTGGTACCAGTGAAGAGTTGCCTAGGATGGCGCTCAGGCCCGTTGGTTGGGTGATTTCCACCTAAAAGGAAGCTGGGGGAGCTTCGGTGGGGGGGCGGGTAATAGGATGGGTGGAGTGATGCCAGTGGCTTCCTGGGTGTTGACCTTGCTGCCCTTTGAGCCTTAGATTGGTTGGCTGTGTCCTGGCTCTGCCTGGCCGCAGGGTGGTGGCCCCTGCTATGGGCAGGCCATTGGAGCAGCTACCCTGAATCAACTCTAGGCAGAGCCTCTCTGTGGCTTCCAAAACTGGAGTGACTCAGGGAGACAACGGGCCACGTGGCCTGTGCCCCTGCCATGAGCCTGGAGCACCATCCGGGCCCATCTGCCACAGGCTGCTTTGGAACCGCTCCTCTTGGCAGCTCCTCCCGCATCCCCCAGGCCAGGGCACAGGTCCCTGAGGCTGAAAGGGACAGTTTGCATGTGGAGGAGTGCCCAGGGTCATCAGTCCCTGGCTGGTCCCCTTCTGGGAAACCCACCCGGTGCTCCTTAGCGTCCAGGGATGCTTTGAGAACTGCAGGTGCCTCGCCTCCTTAAAATTCACAAGATATTGGTAGTACTTACCCTGGAATTTTTCTTTCAAAGGTCCCCCTTGAAAACTAATAGCAGGTTAATGGTTCTGACCAGGACTCCTGGCCTGGAGTGAGCTCACAGTAAATATTTTTTGAATAGTAGCAAATCAGCTGTGACTGCCTAAGGTCCCAGGCCCAGACAGTGGAAGGACAGCCAGCCACATGTCCCAGGGGGAAGCAGGGTGTGACGTGGGGGGCTCAGAGCTCAGAATGGCTTAAGAATGAAAGCTGAAAGCTGAAAGCTGGCTCAGAGCCACCCCAGGACAGGCGTCGGTGGGATGTTGACCCCACTTTAGCTTAGGCAGGGAACTGTTTGTGTGCAGGCTGTCACAAGAACACACATGGTGCCCAACTGGGCAGACAAACCCAGCAAGTTGCTTTTCTCCAGCCGGTGCCTGTGGGGCTGGGGTAGGGTGGGTGGGTGGGTTGTGCTCTCTGTCCTTGTGGCTGTCTGTCCCTGCAGCCCCTCCTCTGCCCTGGGGTGGGGAGGGGGGTGGGGCCTCCACTCATTGTCCTGGTCACCTACAACCCCCTCTGGCAGGAAGTGCAATTACAATCTTGCTTTCCCTTTCTGTGTCTCTGGACAGAGAGAACTCGACGCCACGGCAACCGTATTGGCGAACCGGCAAGATGAGAGCGAGCAGTCCAGAAAGCGGCTTATCGAGCAGAGCCGAGAATTCAAAAAGAACACGCCGGAGGTGAGGCGGGGGTCCCCTGATGCTGTCCTCTCCAGGGGTCTCGTGACCCTCGGGCATGTTCAGAGCACGTGTCCTAAGCGTGGCGACAAACGCGTGGCGAGCCTCCCGCTGCTTTCTTCTGTTCCCTGTCCCCAGCCCTGTCCCAGGATGCGGGGTGTCCCGCACAGGTGTGGGGATGTGACAGTGGCTAGCCTCTCCAGAATCATTTAAGCCACCAGCTGATTCCAAATGCAGACGCTGAGCAAGCCGAGTGTGTGAGAGGAGGGGACCAGGCGTGCATATATGTCGGGTAGTGTGTCACCAAAGTCCTTAAAGGGACATGGGGGGGCAGTGGGCCTCGGGGCCTGCCGCCCTGGTGTGGGTCGGCAGAGTGTGTGAGGATGGCACCATGCGGTGTTTCTTGGAAAACAGACATTTCATCTGCTCCAACCTTTGTAACGCCTGTGTGTTTCTGGAAATGTGCCGTAAACGGCATCGGGAAGGCGCTTGTCACACGCGATGAGGGTACAGTACCCAGAGTAGCTGGGCGGCATCCTGTGTTCTCTGGGTTCCTTTGTCCCCTTCAGTCACTTTGTCTCCCTTCAGTCCCAGGCTTAGTAAGAAACGAAGAGAAGCCAGAGTTGTCCAGACAGGTGAGCGGGGCTCTTGGGGGGCCCCGCTGGGCTCGTGCCAAGCCTCCTGCGCCCTCCACTGGGGTGAGTGGGTGGCAGCTGCCTCGGGCCTCGGAGTCTTGCTGTGGCTGTCAGCTGTTCCAGGTGGGACAAAGGGCCAATCCTGGAAGGAGAGCCTCTTTCTGGGAGGGAGAGGGCCCTCGTTTCTAGCCTAACACTCCTGAGAAGTGGGTGTGAAACAGAACTTTGCAGGTGGACTTGCTTTAGGGTTTCCCAGCTGATTGCCGTTCAGGGTGTGCTGTCTGGAGTCACTCTGGAAGTCAAACAATTAACCCCCTATTTTTGGGATAACTACTGGAGAGGAAGCAGTAACCCAGGGCAGACAAACAGGGCTCGGTTCTGAGCCATGCCCTCCCTCACCCCAACCTCGCCTGCCCAAGGGTGGCAGGTTGGGGCCACTGGCACTTGGAGGCTTCTGCTATTGAGGTGGGGCTCTCATTCCCGTGATGGCACATGTGCGGGGAGGCGGCTGTGGTCACACATGTGGAGTGTCAGGCTGGGCTTGGGGCCCACCGTGGTGTTCGGGGTCTCTGTCTGGAGGGACCCAGGCATCTTTCTGGTTGTACTGGCAGGTCGTTACACGCTTCTAGGCAGGGCATGTACGAAACTGAAGGGTGCTCAGAACTTTGGCGAGAGGGGTAAAAAAAACATCTGGTTTGTCGTGAGGAACGGCGTCCCCTTCCCTGTGCTCGTGGCTGTGATCCTTATGACCCCCACTGGGGGCCAGGCCAGTGTCCTTGCTGGTGTGTACCTGTGTGATTTCTGATGAAAGGCCCCGTCACCTTGATCTGGGGATGAGGAACCCTTCCGCCCGACGTGTCACACACGGGATCAGCGCCCAGCAGAGTCGGAGGGAGGAGGACCTGGTCTGTAGTCAGGCGGGTCAGAATGAATTTTTAAAGTGTCAGTTACGTGTCGGTAGAGAACTGCATTGCAGTCGTTGTTATCATTGCGTACGCCTGTCGAGGGCTTGTTTTGAGACAAGGTCTTGCTATGTAGCTCAAGCTGCCCTGGAGTTCATGAGTTACTGCCTCAGGTACAAGAATTACAGGCATGTGCCACCATTCCCAGCTTGCTTGTTTCTCCTTCTCCTCCTCCTCTTTTTTTTTTTGCTGTACTGGGGTTTGAACTCAGGGCTTTGCCCTTGCTTTGCTTATTTTGGAGACAGGATCTTGTTGTGAACCTAAATCCTCCTATTTTATGCTTCCTACAGTAGCTAGGATTACAGGCATGTACCACCATGCTTAGCTTTTTTTTTTTTTTCTGTTAAGATGGGGTCTTGCAACCCTCCAACCCCCCAACTCTGGGGCTGCAATCCTCTCGATCTCAGCCTCCCATATGGGTGTGGACCACTGGTGCCCAGCTGCTTATATCCTTTTAAATTTAAATTTTTAGTTAATTTGAGGGAGATTGTAGTTACTCGGTGAATAAAGGTGTATGGGTTTTCTTTGAATCAGTCACTTTCAAAGAAAAACATTTAAAAATTCCTGATGGGACAGCCATTCCCTATTGAACGCAGTGGGCCGTGGGGTATTTCTAGGGTGTGTTAGTTATTTTCTCTGTTCATTACTGTAGGTGACTTAGTGGCCGCGTGTCTTTAGGCAAATTTACTTAACCTTCCAAGGTTTCAGTTTCATTATCTGTAAAAGGCGTATTGCCAGGGCTCACTCTCAGGGTTGCCGTGTGCAACCTGGTGTGTGTGTGAACAAGTTGTGCGTCCCTGCATGCGTACGAATGCTCCCACAGGCCTGCACTTGGAGTCAGGTGTGCTGGTTATCAGTATTGACTTGAAACACTCCATAACTTGTTAGGTGTGGCTCCTTTCTGCTCCTTGGAGCCAGCTCAGGGACGTTTGAAAACAAAACGAAACTTGAACAAGAGGTGGGTATGGTGGTGCGTGCCCGTAATCCCAGCACCAGGAAGGCTGAGCCAGGCTGGGTTTATACAGCAAGACCCTGCCTTGAAAAAAAGAAAAACTAGAACAAGTATAGGTACTTTCAGCTTAAAGTATTCCCAAATTTGTGCTTTTCGAGCCTTGGTTCGTTCGTTCTTTTTCTTCTTTTTTTTAATGCAGTGCTGGGGATAGAACCCAGGGAATTTTTCACACTAGGCAAGTGTTCTGCCACTGAGCCACATCTCCAGCCCTTGGTGTTTTGAGTAGGGTTCTTGATATGTAGCCCAAGCTGGCCTTGAACTCGTGATTCTCCTGCCTCAAGCCTCCTGAGTGCTGGCAAACTTAGACTTTGTACATTTTTGCAGCCGCTAACGCAGCAAGTTTGGGGCAGCCGCATTACAAAGCTGCATTCTTAGAAACAATTCAGTGTCTGTCTTGAAGAAAGTTAGCAGCTTCCCAAACGATACATGTCTGGGATCGTCCCACGCTGAAGAGTCTATGGGTTTTGGACAACACCGAAAGATTTTTTTGTCCTGTGAACTCAGAAATAGTGTGGTTGGGGTCTCTTAATGTGAAAATCAGAGATTTCTTTTCACAAAAATGATTTCAAGCTAAGGGGTGTTTTTTCCTTTTTATGGAACCCAGGGCCTTGCACACGCTAGGCCAAAGCCATGTTGGGAGCCTTTGGTCTTAGCTTTTATATTGGTGCCCGTTAAGAGCCCCCTTCCTTCGGAGTCAGGAGAATGCACTTGTTGGGGATGGTTCCTGAGGGCCTCCCTGTCTCTCAGCCTTGAGTCCTTGCCACTTTTTCCAATTTCGCCTGCCACACCAGGTGTGCTACCTGGGTGTCCCCTCTGTCACCCTCCTCCTTCTTGTGCCTACGGAGGGAGAGGCTAACCAAGGGAGAAGGCAGGACTCCACAACTTCTGGGCGGGTGACAGAGACAGTGCCTGGCCTTGGGCCTTGGGTGGTGGGGTTGGCCATCCCTGGTGTGACCGGAGCTTGGCGGGATGGTGGCAGGGGGAGGCACCTGGGCAACAGCTTTCCTCCCGCCTGGCCCCAGCTTGGAGCAGCAGCCTTCTGGAAGCCTGGTGGTGGTAGAAGTGTGTGGTGTGTGGTGTGTGTGGTGTAGACCAGAAGGCTCCCACCACCGCAAGGCATTTCTCTGCTTTTCCCCACACAGCTGCTTTTCTATTTCTTTGACTGGAGCTGTGGACTGAGTTGTGTGATTTCAGGGTCTGTCCTTATCCCGGGTGCCCGAGGACGGGCAAGGCCACACGTGCTTGGAGACCTGGTTTACCTCTCATCAGAGAAGCGGCTCTGTGCTTTCATTTTTCTGTGTAGGAATTGCTTTTGTTCTCGCCTTTCCATTCAGTTCAGTTTAAAGGGTTTGCCTCTGACCAAAGTTTGGTTTCAGTCCTGCCTCTCAGTGGATCGGGATTCGAACCCAGGCACTGTGGCTGTCACGTTCATGCACTTGGTGACTTGCTGAGCAGGCACAGATGGGCCCCATGTAGTGGAGGCCTCAGCGTGGAGCCCCGGGGACCGAGGCCCTTGCTCCCAGAGTGAAGTGGGCGAACCGCGGCTGGTGGTCAGTTAGGGACTGTGGCACACTGGCAGTGTCCTCCAGCAGCACGGCCTTGCTTCGGGACTGTGCTGCTGAAAAGCCACTTGAGGAGGAGTGCCGACCCAGCACGCCTTGTTTTCTGCTTTGCAGGGTGGGGAAAAGTGGCCTTTGTGGGAGGGAGAGAAGAAAGGGGCCGCAGGCCTGAGGCCCAGTCATTTCTGTAACACCTGCTGTCCCCAGGATGTGTCCTTGTCACATCAGCATCTGTCCAGTACTGCCCCGGGCTGCTCCCAGGTGTCTGTCTGTAAGACGTCCTCAGGCTAATTTGCGGGACCGTCACTTCTGTGAGGACAGCCTTGCTGCCCTGCAGGGTGCCGCGTGGTCATCTTTCTCCCCGATGCTTTTTGGTCTACGCAGTTCTCTCTCGCTCGCTGGAGCGTGTGCCTCATGGCACCTGGCCCACGGTGTTCACAGCCTGTGTCTGTCTGCTGCGCCTGCTCTGCCGCAGAGCCAGGTGACTTCTCACCTCGTGTTCCCTCGCCTCTGTTGTTGTCAGCAGCAGAGTTGGGCTCCAGTCCCACTGTCAGTGGCCCAGCTCCTTGGTGGTCAGGTCTGGGGACAGACCCTCTTTCTCCCCTGCTGCCTCCTCCAGGGCAGGTGGGCCTGGCATGAAGGCAGCTGCAGCCCTGTTGTCTGACAGGGACATTTCTCTGCAGCTAGCGTGGCACCTAGGGTCTGCTGTGTTTTTCTCATGTTTACATTCTTGGCCAACATTTGCAAAAAGTCAGGCCTAGGATATCCTGGAGGCCCGGAGGTAGAACTCAGAAGGAATTCTTAGCTGTGGTCCAAGGGGACTGCGTCTTCTAGTCTTTGGCACAGGGTGGAGACCTGACTTTTTTTTTTTTTTTTTTTTTTTTTAACAGTACTGGGGTTTGAACTTAGGACCTACACCTTGAGCCACTCCAAGGTGCTGGTTTCTTTGTTTTTTTTTTGTGTGTGTGTGTGTGTGTGTTAGGTATTTTCGAGATAGGGTCTTGAGAACTATTTGCCTGGGTTGGCTTTGAATCACTGTCCTCCTGATCTCTGCCTCCTGAGTAGCTGGGATTACAGGCAGGAGCCACTGGCATCCGGTGGGACCCCAGCCTTTTATCATCGGGGTGAAGGTCAGATACAAAGCACTGCCCCACAGTCTCTGTCACAGGTCAGCTTTTTTTTGTGTAGACGAGGAAGACAAAAGACCGGGAAGCTACCGGAAAGTCTAGGTTGTCGTGTCTGCCCCCTTGAGAGACGCCAGGACGGAGGTGACGGAACGGGCCAATAATATATAGCTGTGGCCTGGGCCACGTGCCCGTACACACTCCTCAGCAGCCTTTTATAGCCGCTGCAGAGAGTGACTCAGCCTGGAAAAAGAGAGTCACTTCACGTACAGTGGCCACTTGAGTGGGGCACGTCGTGTACAGGCTGTGCAGCCGGCTGGCTGGAGCCCGAGGGACATCCTGGCCTGCGGGGGCCCTGGGCGAGGCTGGTCACTTGGGCGAGGTGATGGTGTGGGGATTCCACGAAGCCCTCAGCGCACAGGTGGTGGCAGCTCCTCTCTGTGTGTGAGTGAAGTGCTGGATTGAGTATTTCTTGTCTCCACCATTGCCAGACATGAAGTCCTGTGTGACTTGGGCCTCGCCACAGTCCAAGACCACAGCGCACAACCGAGTGAAGACGCCAGTGTCATTTTTCTCTGTCACATCTGGCACTTTGAGTCATCTGAATGGACAAGTCCTGGCTTCTACGGAGGAGGGCAGGCCAGCCACATCCGGGTGGGTGGACCTCGGGCAGGGCGGCCGAGCTGCAAGACCAGGGGCTCGGGATGGTCACATACCGGGGACACAAACCAATGCCATACCAGGGGGTTTGGGACCCTGCCACACACTGCCGAGCACAGCTGTAGCGCAGTGCCTTCCCCCCAGCCCCATGAAGCGTACGGCACAGGACATGAGTGGGCTGGTGTCATCAGCACCGTGGACACCGAGGGCCCAGCACAAATACAGCGCTCCTGCGTGAGTCTTCTCTTTACCAAGCAGGAGTTTTAAAAATGCCAATTACACCCTCTGCAAGACTCATTTCTCAGACCAGCAGATAAGGTCTTTGATGCGTCAGTGGTTTGTTTTGTTTTGTTTTGGTGCAAAGTTAAAAAAAAGAAAAAAGAATTTGAGAACCTCCTTTCTTTAGCAGTTTCTCAGAAAGTTAAACATAGTCACTGGATGGCCCAGCAATTCCAGTCCTAGGTGTGTCCCCCAAAGAAATGAAAACGCATATATACAAAAACATCTGTGCAGATGTTCACAGCAGCGTGATTCAGATTATCCACCTCCCATAGAAGCAGCCCAGGTGTCGGTCCACAGAAGAATCAGTAAAGAGAATGTGGTGTGCCCACACGATGGAGTCTTACTCAGCCATCAAAAGGAACAAAGTACTTGATTCATGGTACAATGTGGTTTAAACGTGCAAATATTGTGCTACGTGAAAGAAACCAGACAAAAGGCCACAAGATTCCGTTTCTATGAACTGTCTGAAGTGGGCCAATCCACAGAGATGGGATGTGCGAGGGCGAATGGAGGGTGGCGAATGATA